AACTCAAAATTGATTTATCAATTGAAGGACTTTTCTGATTATATGATTTTTTTTTTCAATAAAAATTTATCTTTTTTGTTTTTAGGAAAATGCTCATTTTTATTTCAGTGAAGCAATTATATCAGCTATTGAACAAATAAAATTTACTCAACAATGTAATAAATATTTTGGTCAAACATGGTCATCATCAATAGCTAGTATGTTATCACCATGTGAAACAACACATACATCATCATCAAATAGTAGTTCATCACCACCAATACAGCAATATACACCTTGTAATTCAAAATTATTATTAAATAATGGAACAAAAGTTAGTTGATTGAAATTTTCTATTAATATCAATTTTCTAAATAAATATATATTTATTTAGAGTTTAAATAGAGAATTATCACAATCAAATCGACATGATGATATAACAGAATCAACTACAGATTCAAGTGAATAATTATTTCGTTATGTGTTGAAAAGATAATTTATTAAGTTTTTTATTTTTTTTTATTTTAGCTGAACCACCAAATAATTTTGATTGGTCAATTCGTAGTTCAATATTAAGTTTAAAGTAATTTGATTAATCTTATAATTTGTTTTGTTTTTTTTGTAAATTGATTATTTTAGTTTACAAGAATCATCAGCTGAAGCAATAGGTATATTATAATCGATTTGTTTTTTGTTTTTCTATAATCTCTTTTTTATATTTGTTTAGCATTAGCATTAATGGAAACATGGAAAAATTTTAAAGTTCCCACAGCACCCGAACTCTTTTGGATGATTCCACATGATGAAGATTTACCACAAGAGGTAAAAATTGTAACAGAGAAAAAAAAAATATTTAGTTTCTATTTCAAAAGTAAAAATTTCCTTTTCCTTTGTTTTTTCAAGTTATTACCACTTCCAGATGGAATTTCAATTGATCCCAGTGAAGATTATCTTTCGAATGAAGATGGTCAAAGGGTAAATTATTTACTAATGGAATGCTATTATTATCCATTCAAAAAGTCAATTAACTTTGTTGTATCATAAATAACTTAGATATAAAAGTCGCTAGCGAGCTACAATTTTCAGTATTATGCCCTTGAAAACTTTTCCAGTACACATTAACTTTTACGATAGTAATTTGATAGAGAAAATCAAGACCTCTCTAGGTGATTCATTTGACAGGTTATAACCATTCTTCTGAGAGACTCCCGAAGTCGACCAATTGACTACTGGTCAGTTTGAAATCAGTTGATATAAAAGATTTTGACCGCATTGAGACAAATGGTAGTGTTTACTTTCTTTTCTAAAGCAACATAAAAAAATCCTTAGTTTTAACAAACTGGAAAATAAGAAATGGACATGCTTGAATATCATTCTGTTCGACTCCAATGAAACGATGTAAATTTTTACTAAGAAAATAGAAATATGGACAAGTCTTTAATTATAAAATGAGACATTCCACAAAGTTGAAAAAGATGATCGGTTGAAATTACACAATAGATTTTCGAACTCAAAAATACGTGCGATTATGAGATAAATACGATATTCATTATTGAAACATTCATAGAATCTGAATTACGTATTTCATAAAAATGAGAAGCTCTCATTTAGTAATATATGGTTTACTTTACATTTCCGTTCATTTCAGAGCTCTATATAATCTTCTCAGATGATATTACTTGTCAGAGCCGTATCGATATATACGTCGTAGAAATTTTTTCTCCACTTATCTACAGCTTGATAGTTTCTAAAAGCAAAGTATCGTAATAAGTGAGAATTAATGTATCTACGAAGTGTCGATGACAGATGAACGTGTTAATGAGAAAAATAGTGTAATGAATGCGTAACACACATTACCCAATAGCAAGCAACTGAAACAATATTGAAGTAAATTTTTGGTTCATCGATAATTATCACAGCTTTTATCAAAGCTCTCAAACAGTTTGAAAACTCCAATTTATCGAATCTTGTACACTTCTGTGCTTGTAAGCAAATCTAGTCGTAACTACAACACAAAATAAGTTGATCACAATCGAAGCCTACCTCCAAACTTTTGACTTGCGACACAAAATAGAAGATCCGTGAGCTACTATTCTGTAGGAGAGTATATCCACACATTCCAAACTAATCAGTAGTCAATTTTGGAGGTCTCAGAAGAATGATTACAACTTGGCAATGGAACCATTGAGAGAGGCCGATCTTTGATAGATCTCATTCGAATACTGAAAGTCGCAGATTCCTAGCTATTGTATAATTTAATCTAAATATTAGTACATTTTATGATTTGAAAGAAATTTCTAAAAATGAAAATTTTTTTTTTTTTATTAAAGATTCTATGTCGTGGTAATAGTCAATGGGCACCACCTCGTGAACAATTGATCTTTCATATTCATCAACCTCCAAAGTACATGCATATATGATAAATTCAAACTCCATAAAAAAAAAATATATAAATATATTTTTTATTTAGTCGTGATTCTCAATTAAGAAAACAAGGTTATCTATGTGCTGGTTGTGGACGTCATGTTGAAAAAGGTTTTGCACATCGTTATAGATATTGTGAATATACAGGTTATACTATCAAATAAATATAAAACAACATAAATTATAATTTTTTTTTTTCTTCTATTAATATTTAGGCAAATATTTTTGTCGTAGTTGTCATTCGGATAAAAAATCATTTTTACCATCATATATAATAACAAAATGGGATTTTTCAAGCAAACATAGTGTATCTAATTTTGCATTTGATTATTTAAATCGTATATATAGTGATCCAACATTTAATTTAAATGATTTAAATCCAAAATTATATGAAAAAAGTAAACAATTAAGAATAATAGATGAATTACGTTGGTCACTTTTTTATCTTCGTCATTATATTTTAACATGTCGTTTTGCTGAAGAAAAAAAGTAAGAGGAAAAAAAAACAAAATTCTACTTTTTTTTTTGTTTTTCAAAAATAAAATTCTTTTAAAATAGTTATCAACAAATATTACAAAAATTATCATCATATATATATACAGATCCATATATATATTCAATACAAGATTTATATAAAGTAAATTTATTTTTGTAAATAAAAATGAAAAAATAAACAAAAATAAAAACTAAATTCTTTTTCTTTAGATAAAATCAGGTGATTTAATAAAGGTGCTTGAACCAATGGTAATTAATTTACGTGAACATGTATTAACATGTCCATTATGTTATGCCAAAGGATTTATATGTGAAATATGTATGAATGATAAAGATATTATTTTTCCATTTGATTTAGATATAACAAGTGTTTGTCCAGGTTAAATTTTTAAAGATCTAAAATAAAAATAATAAATATCAATGATGTTTTTGTTTTAGTATGTCAATCATGCTTCCATTTTCAATGTCATGAAAATAGACAATATCATTGTCCTAAATGCCAAAGAAACAAAAGTAGAAAGTAAGAAAAAACATATGTTCTAGTTTTTTAATGATCCATAATAAGTAATAAACGATTAATAAGAATAATATTAGATAATTCTTACAAGTACTTTTATAGATATAATTCTTAGTATACAAAAACCACTTATAATATGTTATTTACAGGTCATTAGCACTATATCAAATCTGTTTTCTTTTTATTCAATAAGACAAAGATTAAAAATACGATATTATATAGTAATAATAGTTATTTCCTATGTTATTTTGTTTTGTTTGATTTGATATTTTCATAGTTTTCTCAAGACTTTATACCGAATGATGAATGAATGTATTTAATAATTTACAAAATATCTTCTGCATTATCCTTACATGTAAATAAATTTTCCTTAGAAATACATTCTTTCACTATGTAACCGATATGATCTGTCACATTAGTATTTCAATCTATGTTTTGAGTCTATCATCATAAAATAGAATAAATTGGATTTCATTCAGCTGTCTAATTAACTCTTTCGGATATAATACTCAATTGAGATAATATAAAGTATTACTTTCTTTTATTATATATAGAGAAAAAAATCACACTAGATTTATTATTTAATTGAAATTCACTAGAGAATTCTTGAAAATTGATATGATATTCTTAAAAAAAAAAAACAACTTCTCAATTTTTCTTTTCTATTTTAGTAGTCTAACTTCATCAAATCGTAGTAATACACCAACAAATATTCAACATGAAGATGGTATAATTACATAAAATTTTCAGAAAATAAAACCGTGTAATTTTTGTTTTTAAATAAAAAATGTCTTTCATAAATTATTTATTCTTGTTATTTTTTTTTTTTTTTCTAATAATATTTTTGTTTTCTTCACCGGTCTTTTTTTTTTTTTTAATTTCTTCCTCTTGTTAAAAATTCTATTGTGTATATATTTGTTTGCTAGTTAATATTACATGCATGTCAAAAATGCAAAAGAAAACCAAGCCTCGTTAATATATTTTTCTTTTTTTTTTCTTGGCTTTCTTATTAATATAATAATGACGTTACTATCAGCACATAGATATTCATCATTTTTTTTTTTAAATAAAAAACGAATATCAATAAACAAGAATCAAGTTGTTAGTTCTGATGATGAAAGAAGTTTGCTTGATTATAGTTGATATATCTTCATTCCGTCGATTTTTGCCTCGTATTCGCTTTCTTTTTTTCCTTTCTTCCTTTCGCTCTTTCTTATTTTTTTTTTTCTTTTGCAATAACCACCTTCCTACAATATTATACAAAGAATAGTCCCATATATATCTCCATTGACAAATGCGACCGAAGACATTAATTGATCGTTGCTTGATGACAAGCGAACGAGCATTGAGAGTGTCGAGCTCGCATAATCGATAACGAAGAAAAGCGGAAGACAAAGCATCATCTCCGTAAGTACTTTCAAGAAAATCCATGTCATCAATAACTGAAAAGAGGAAAAAAACAGAAGAAGAAGAAAAAGAAGATCGAACGATTTTATTTTATATTATCATTAGTATGTTTTCCATTTTATTTTTTTTTTATTTTTATTTAATAAATAGTATAACGAATGATTAAAAAATTTACAAAATGAGTGCAAGTCGATATGCAGTTGTTCGACGTCTTAGTCGAGTACTTCTATTACCTCTACATGGCCATACTATGACTAATGATAGGTAAGAATTGTTAAATCTACTTTGTTCTTAGGGAATTCTTTTCTTTTTTTTTGTCATTGTCATAAGAATTTTCTTAGTTGTCGTACTCATGAATAATGATATGTGTAGATAATAAACAGCTTTTGTGATCTCAATAGTATACAATGTGTATACATTCTCATTTGGGACCGAGAAAAAAAAAAAGAGAAAGAAAAAAGCTCCAATCTATCAATACAATAAGGTCGACGATGAGCATACCAAACCAATCGAGTTTCGGAATAAGAAACGACTAAGAATAAAAGAAAAAAAAACCCGACGCATGAATGATTAAATAGAACATTTGCTTTTGGTTCATATTAAAGAACACTTGTATATTGATTGACAACAAACCAAACTAAGTAAGTATCAATAATATTACTTTAATATTTGATTAAATAGAATAATTATCAAGAATTCTATTGTATTGTATTAATCAATATTATAAGAAATTAGAAATTAAATAAGTTATATAATTCCGTTAGTAAATCTAATTAATTTTTTTTTTCAAATAATAATTTTATTATATTATTTGTTCATTAATTAATTGCATTTCTTTTTTGTTTTGTATAGATATAAACATATAAGAATAAACATAAAAGCACTTGACCTATGAGAATTAATCATTAGTTAATTGATATAAACACACATAAATAAACAGACTTCATAATAATTGTTAGTCCGTTCATAAACGAAAAGAAGAATTATTCTACATAATCTTTTCATCTTATTTTATCATCGATAATATTCTTCATTATGAAATCATTCTCATGTTTTTCCATGTAACTATAAAAGAATGTACATATACATATATCTTCAAAAAACAAAATCAATCTTCTAGAGAATGATAGTAGTTGTAGCTTGCGCTTGACTGCTAACTTTGCTATTGTTATGTAAGTTGTGAATACAATTTCTGTTTCCTTACTTATATGCAAAGTGCTTCGTTTGTACATACATAAGAAAAAAAAAAGTAAATGAGACATAAAGTAGTGTCATCTCGATGGTGTTTCAGGCCAATGCATTTACTAGGGTAGCTCTCTCTCTCTTTGCACTCATTACCACTAGAAAAAAGTATAATTAGTGATGGCAACCATATCATCGGATGAATGAACACAATTAATTGAATTGATTGATTGATTGATTGCTTACATACTTTGTACTGTTTTTTGACATAAAGAAAAATATGCTGATGTATTGCTTATCATAAATTGTATTTGTCAAAACTACTTTTTCGACAGATAATAATTATTTGAATATATTTCTGTTCCAGTTTTTTTTTTCTAAGACAAAAGAAAATGTTAAAGATCAGCTGATCTATCATATTACTAATTCAATCAATAAAACAATAATTTGTTGCTTTCCTACGATCTTTAACATTTATTTTAATCGATTACTTGTTATATAAAGCCTATTAGTTAGATGTAGAATTATTATTTATTATGTTTGTGTCGTTCGTTCATCGCAAATGATCCATAGGGTATTCGGACATTTTCTTTTTTAGTACTTTATCACACATAATTCTCTCGGTTCTCATTGATATGATTACCGAAATACTTTTTTTTTTCACATGAGGAAGAAGAAAAAACCGAGAAATGATGAACTGATCATAAAGTTGTCTATCGTATAAAATATTATTCTTGTGCTACGATGAATTTAACATTACTTTGTCTAACGTGTATATGATGGAAATAACGACATATTTACATCGAGTAGATCCATCATCATCATCAACGCCTCGTATGATTATTGTTCGACAGAATAAAGAGAAACCGACAACTTCAATAAATACATTAAATACTGAAAAAAATCTTCATCAATTATCAACGATTGATACTTCTATTTCAACGATAAAAAAACCTCGGAAATCACTATTCAAGTAGGTTTGAAAGACATCGAAGAAAATATTTCTTTCGTCGTCAATGTCTCTATTTATTTTGTATGATGATATCAAAAAAAGAACTTATGGATTTGTCATTATATCCTTAATTATAAACAAATTGAGTAGAAGTTTCACTGCATGTCGTCTAGCTAATTGCATGAAAAAAACAAACCGAGATGATGAAGAAATGTTAGATCCATATATGTATATATATATTTAAGGATAAATATGTCAATCATGACATTATTACTATTATCAAATAAAACAGAATCAATAAAGTGCATCGACTTTGTTCGTGTATGTAACCATTTGAGTATATTCATATAGTCATCTCGACTCCAGATGATGATGATGATTTCCGGTAGAATAACGCATAACAATAGGTTGATGGCTCGCCTGATAACAGATTTCTTTTTCCATGCATATGTTCGATGACGTTAGCAATAAGCCATGTACGCGTACAATTGAATGCCGATCAAACAAGTAATAAAAACATCAGTGGTGTCTACATCTATCTCTTTTTCCAGCCTAGACTGATGATGTATTCTGTTCTGTATTGATTAGAATAGAAGGCACCGACCTGGTTCGTTTTTTTTTTCCTCGATGTCTATGTACTTCTATGCTTTATGGATGTTCGATTGTATCCATCTGTATATATTGATCTCGTTCTTCTTGATCGTATAAATGATTAAAAGGTCAGCTTTTTTTTTTAAACAATATTAAATAACCAAAAGAAAAAAAAGAAGAAGAAATGCATTCTGGTCAGATGTTTATTGTTTATCGATCGGCGACACTTTCATCAAAGTATGCACAAATATTTATTTAGATTCTTAAATTCTCACTGTTTTTTTTTAATACGTAATTTAAAATAATATTTTATTTTATATATTTTTATTTAGTATGCGCCGTCGAAAAATTAAAGATTCATCTTCTACTGGTGATCATCAAATATGTGCAAGAGAAAATTGTTTAAGATGTTGTAAAAAATTTGCTGCATTTATGTTTTCACGTGTTGGCCTATTTTTTGTTATGATCGGTTATGTTGCATTAGGTGGCTGGTTATTTCAAGCACTTGAAGCTGGTAATGAACAAGATATGCGTCGTTCAATGAATGAAAAATTTAATTCAACACTTTATAAATTATGGGATGGAATTTTACAAGTTAATTCATATCCATATAATGATAAAAAAGGAAATTTTACATTATATGCAACACAAGAACTTGAAAAATTTGAAGCAACTGTTATTCAACAAATACAACAAGGTTTTGATGGACGAACAAGACCAGGTGCTGATCCGGATTGGAATTTTTTTGGAGCTATACTTTATGCTGTTACACTTGTATCAACTATAGGTAAAAATTAGGAGAAGAATTTTCAAACGAAAAAATAAATATGATAAAATGTTTTTTTTTTTTTTTGTAAAAAAAAAACAAAACAGGTTATGGTCATATAACAACAAAAACTATACCAGGAAAAGTTGCAACTGTACTTTATAGTGCATTTGGTGTACCATTAATGATGCTTTTTGTTGCAAATATTGGTTCAACAATGGCAAAATTATTTGCTTTTGTATTTAGTCGTATAAAAATGTTATTTTGTTGTCAATGGAAAAATAAAAAAAGACGAAAAAGTTTAAAACAATTTCAACAAAAAAATAATCAAATATCAATTAAAATTGATGAAGAAAAATCCATAAAAAAATCGAATTTAAAACAAACTAAAGATGATCAAGAAATAATAGAAAAAAGTAAAGAAATTTTATTTTTTCAATTTTATTTTTTTTTCATTCATATTTATTTAGTTTCAATTAATAATAATAATAATAATAATGATGATGATGATCAATTAACGATAATTCCTTTACAAACACAAATTAATTTACTTCCTCAACATAATAAATTTTCAATGAAAGATACAAAACAATTACCAGCTGATGTTCGTTTAGATATGTTAACAGGAGTTCCAATAGATATAACAAAATCTCATTCATTAACATCATCAATAAGTACAATTGGTGAACGATCAAAAGATGCACTTTTTCGTATTAATGAACTTATTCGACAAAATTCCGTCCAAGATATTGACAATTCAATCAATGATGAAGTTTTTAATGATAATGATATTTTATTAATGTCAATTAATCAAGATAAACAACAACGTTCTAATGATATTAGTCCAATACAATTTTATATTAATGAAACAAATAAATTAACAAATAATTTAGAAAATTCACTTAATGATCAAATTTTTATAAAATCAAAAGAAGAAAAACCAAATATTACAAATCTAGATGATATGAATATTCAACAAGTAAATAATTTTTTTCTTTTTTCAAAACAATAACAATAAGCTATATGCGCAACTACGGAGAATTTTTAAAACCTTAAGAAAAAAAAAAAAACAAAATATCAATTCATTTTTCAATCTTCGAGAATAAAAAAGAGTTGTAATGCTATGAAGATCTTTCTTTGTAACAGCATACTGGGATTAATAAGAATTTATTTCTTAACTAATCAAACCACTTTATTTAGACAAGAAAAAAAAAGGATTCCTGTTAAACAGATACACTCACGCAAATCAAAATCCGATGATAAGAAAAACTTAGGTACATTTTCGTACATGAAGTTAGATGAATACTTTCATAGAAAGAATATCAATGCACTTTGTTAGAATGTTCTTTAGGAGACTATTTGTAAAACAAAGTTGTTATATAGATAATGATACATTGAAATACACATCAACAGAAGGACATGTTGAAATTTCATAATTTAGCCTTTCAATGAATCTGCTAGGTTATAGTCCATTCGGTTCTAAATTTTTGGATTCGGATTCGAATTCTACTTCTAATTTCAACGAAGTTTTCAAGTCACTCCGAAGATGTGAGATATTTTTTATTGATAATTTGTATTCTACTATTAACACAATCTACACATTTCTCAGACAACTTCGACTATGATCTTATAAGGATCAAGTCATCATTGGCTGTTACTTTTAGAGTATGATCTGTTAGCTTGAAACCAATTCGATGGACTCTACTACTAGCAGTACGAATGGGTCTTGAAATCTATTAACTTGACTTTTTGTTCAATAATTGAAAAATGAGATTTGAATTATACCAATCTTGTTTATTATAAAATTAATATAGATATTGTATTTCAGTTTTAATCTACATTTTCTTAAGATCATCCCTCTCCCTCAAGAATCGATCTCAGTCCAAAAACATCCAAATTGCATGAAAACTTTCAGGATATGTTGGGGCTGGTGAGCGATGGTTATGGTGAAATTTTCAGCCTTATATCATGACGCTTGACAGAGATATTCACCAAACAAGAGTCAAAAATAGCTCTATCGTAGTGGCAAGATTTCTCTGGGAGCCTTCATTTTATACAGGGTGACGCAAAAGTCAGTTTACCGAAAAAAAATCGAATATCCCCATTATGGCTCGAGCAAACGAGCTGATTTTTTTTATCAATGATAGCGGCATGTTCAAGCTTTATATTCACAAAGACAAGCCTAGAGAGACCGTTCGTTAAGTATCATCAGTGATTTCAACAAAATAACAAAGTGTCTCTCTAGGCATCTCTTTATGTATATAAAGCTTGAACATGCCACTATCACTAATAAAAAGATCAGCTCGTTTGCTCGAGCCATAATGGAGATGTTCGATTTTTTTTTCGGTAAACTGACTTTTGCCCCACCCTGTACATTTTAATTTTTTTTTGTTTGTTTGAAAGATTGTGTCTAGGGCTAGCCCCTCTAGTGATCCTTTTTTTTCAAACTCTTACTTTTTAAGCGAAGACAAGGAATGACAAGTTTAATGACTCAAAAAACCTCTAAAAAAAAGAGCTACCAGAAGGACTAGCCTTAGACACAAGCTTTCAAACAAAAAAAAAATATTTGACTTTATCTCTTAGTATGATAAAATTCTGCTGACGCTACGTCGTTGAACTCACGTTCTGAGAAAATCGAAAAATGATTTTCAGTTTTTTGTAAAAACGACTTGTTTTTCGAATAGGAGAGGGTAATGGAAATCTTTCAAAGTTTTTGGAAAAAAAGAGATGCTGAATAAAAATTTTTGTCGCATGTGAAAGAGTAGATGACGAGCTATTTATCCATGAATTTATTTCAATTTCGATGATTCTGACGAAAAGCGACTTTTTTTAAGGAAACCTTAAAAAGCCTTTCAACATCTACTTAACTGCTATCCTCTCGAAAAGAATCAGATTTTTTTCTTAATTGAATAATTTCGTACAAAAGAACAACGGATATATCTCAAAGATAAAATCATAATATTTGTTTATTTATAGGCTATTATTCGTGAGATTCCTTCTACTATTACAACTACGAATGATGATATTAATAAAAGAATAGTTGAAAAAGATACTACAAAAGAAAAATCTTCAAAAGAAAAATTAAAACGTTCAAAATCTGAATCAACATATAATCGTAAATCATATATAAAAACAAATAAAAAACCTGATTCATCATCAAGAATTGATAATAATGAAATAACTAAATCTACACGTCGACGATTTTTTTTACGTAAATTAAAAAAACGAACAAATCAAATAAATGAAATCAATATAAATAATTCATTAGAACAAGAATCAAATGAAATAATCAATGAAACAACTCGAAAATTAGGACGAAAATCTTTAAGTTTCGATGAACATTTACATTCATTACCTCCTCCACCTAATTATGAAGAATCTACTATACATGATATAACATCATTACCAATGGTAACATGGAAATCCGATAATGAATTATATTCAACAAAACCTACATTACATTTTCCAACAACTATTCATACTGAAAATGATGATGATAATGATGAATTATATGAAGATGAACAAATGACTGTACCATTACTTGTTACTGTTTTTGTCATTCCGCTTTATTTAACACTTGGCGCTATATTATTTAATATTTGGGAACGTTGGGGTTTTCTTAATTCATTTTATTTTTGTTTTACAACATTAACAACGATCGGTTTTGGAGATTATGTACCTGGTGCATCAATAACTGTTTTAGCTGCAAAAGAAAAACTTATATGTGCTTCATTGTATATTTTACTTGGTCTTGTACTTATTGCAATGTGTTTTAATTTAATGAAAGAACAATTAATTCAAAAAGTTAAACAAATCGCTGGTAAATGGGGAATTTTGCAAACTTAGGAACATTTCTTCTTCTTCTTCTTCTTCTTCTTCTTCTTGTGTTTTTTTGTTGTTGTTTTGTTTCTTGATAAATATATCAGCGAAGGTTTTTTTTTTTCTTCGTTTTATTTGTATCTTTATAGTGAATAAAGGAAACTAATAAAATTTCAAGCATAATTAATTTAGTTTGTTTCAATAAAAAACAAAAAAAAAAAAAGAATCAAATTAAGATGAAATACTTATTTTATGCACAATCCACGGATTATAATAACTAACTTTAGCATAAACATCGGAAAAATTTGTTTGATGACCACAATCAACTGTTCCTGACATAATACCAACTTGTTGCCAATAAGTTTTACCATTTTTATGAACTATTGATCGAACTAATGGACCACCACTATCACCAAAACATACTGCTCTTGGTGGAAAACCAGCACACATTTGTCCTAGTCGTGCACCATCACCACTACCAGTTAATGGTTCACATGATGGATGATTTCGTGGTACAAATTGTAAACGTACTTGTTGTAATACATTTGGTCTTGTACGATTAACACTTTCCATTGCACCCCAACCTGTAGCTACAAGAGGATCACCTTCTTTTAATTCTTGATCAGTCATATTTGCTGGTGCAATACAAGCAAGACTAACTTGATCATCTAAAGAAATGTTTGTATGTAAACGAATAAGTGCAACATCATCATTAAGAGTCATATCATCATAAGATTCATGAACATAAATACGTTCAGCCATATGTGCTATACGTGGTGACCATGTACTAACATTAAAAACATGAAGACGAGCAATTACACCAACATATCGAGGTGAAAAACCAAAAATACAATGTGCAGCAGTAAGAACATGTTGTGGTGTAATAAGACTAGCACCACAATAAGATCTTGGTAAGCCTTCAGCAGAAAAAACGACGAGAAGCAATTGCCATGGCCATGAATTTGGAATCGCTGCTTCACCATTAACAATTCTTGATGTTATTTGTGGACTAATAGCTGGACAACCACATGCACATGGTTCGGCAAGAGTAACTGTTGATTGATTTCGATTATCACTAGAGCTCGTAGTTGATTTTGGTTTTCCAATTGTAAATAGTAGTGCGATACTAATGGTCAATGCTAGAACCATTATTGTTACGAAAACTAACAAAACAGTAATTAATCTTGGGAAAATTCCATTTGTCATTGTTGGTGGATTAGATGTATCTGATCGTACAACCGGTGTGCTTGAGAGAAAAAAAAATATTGAATATTTCTTTTTTTTTTGCAAGAGATATAAATATAGTAATCGAAATGAATTGTTATCAAATATCAAACTTTAATACGACTTTTTTTTTCTTTTTTTTTTTTTTAGTTTATGATGTATGTCATCATAATTCTTCAAGTATGTACTTTAGACTATATTGTATTTTAAGAACAAAACAATGAATAATTGATGAAAAATATCAATTAATTTGTTTTCTTTCTCTTGAAAACTAACGATTATAATAAAAAAATATACAAGTTTCGATTGTTATATGATAATAAAACAAGTAAATAATCATATAGATATTTGAAAGTAGTGACTATGATGATTCACATCCTTCAAAGAAGTAGGTGTTTTGGTTAAATCTATTTTTGATAGGAGAATGTCAAAAATTAAAATGTAGATAGATAAGAAACACCGAATAATAAATATGTCGAACTGTAAAAAATAATCGAAAGATAAAAATATCATCTTGCTGACATATCAAAATCATATAAATTATTGGTTAGTAAAAAAAATAAAGAACTCAATGTGCTTATTTCATTTATAGTATTGATGGCTGAAATCTTTTTGAATAGAAAACTATGAATCAGACCGAGCTCATTCAATATTGCGAGTGGCGCCCATAGGCCGAGTCTTGAATAAAATATAAAATATTTCAAAGATGTTCTATATGTCCATTTCGATGTAATTCTTCCATTGACTAAAATTTATATTTAAAAAAGTATCCTTTCTTAGTTCTTCTCATTCATCAACAATTACTTTTTCTAATTCTATTCCTACTGAACCATCTTAACTATCAATTTTTCTTCAACTACCACACTGGTGCTGATTCGTCATCACATACAAAACAGTATATATCTGGACGGATAAAATTTGTTTTGAGTGTGTATGTGCATGACAATGAATTTAGGCCACACTCACACCCTTTTCACAGTTGTGAAAGATGACTGAATCCAATGGAGTATTACTATCGCTAGCTTGCAATGAGAATGAACTTTTGCTGTTAATCTCTGCAGCTCGTCATGTTTTTCACAAAGTATTTCGTTTGTCATCATCCTTAATCATGATTGAACAAGAAATTCAAGCATCAGAGCTTGCAAAAAGGCCTCAAGATATGTCATATCACATGAGTTTCTTACTCAAAATATTCAAGGACTTCATAAGCATGAAAAAAAAAACGTTCAACTAGGGATGAAGATCATACAATATAGTATACGATTTTGATACGATCTTGTAACAATCGTACAAGATCTTATAATAGGATTGTTTGATCTGAGTTTTCGTTTCAATAAATTGTTCAAGAAAATCATGTATCATTCTTTAATAAATGATTCTTTTTTGTTTGAAACATTCCGCGCATATGTTATCATATGCATATTAAAATGAATCAATATTTTCTTTCATTCAACATTTAGTAGCGCCATCTATATTGACTTGGTGGCTGATAGAACTGTGACTGAAGATTGGTGAAATCATTATTCGCATTGCGAAAGAAATAAACAATTCAGTTCAAAGAAAGACAAAAGATTTGAACGATTGAATAGCGTTTATTGAGTTATCTGAGTTTTATTCATTATTATATTACATCATGCTCGTTTTGTTTGAAACATCTGCTGGCTATGCCATATTTAAAGTTCGTATTTATTGTTTAGTCTTTTTTTTGGATTTTAATGTCGATTTTTGTTTTTAAATTTCAGTTACTTGATGAAAAAAAATTACAAGAAACTAAAAATTTATATGCTGATTTCGAATCACCAGAAAAAGCTGCTAATGTGTAAAATAATCTTATTAGTATTTTTTTTAACTGATTGATACATTTCGTTTTTATTATTTTAGTTTAAAATTAACTCAATTTGAGAAATTTGAAGATACAACACAAGCTCTTGCTGCAGCAACAGCAACTGTTGAAGGAAAAATTTCTAAACCATTAAAAAAATTACTTAAACGTCTTGTTGATCCAGATGTTCAAGAAAAATTACTTGTTGCTGATTCAACACTTGGCAAAGCTATTAAAGTTTGTTTACATTTTATTAATAAAATCATTTTTATTTTTTTAAATATATGTATATTTTAGGAAAAATTTAGTTTTGATTGTATATGTAATAGTTCTGTACAAGATCTTATGCGTGTTATTCGTTCACAAGCCGATAGTCTTTTACAAATTGATGAAAAAGAATTAGCTGCTATGCGTATTGGTCTCGCACATAGGTATTTAAAATAAAATTGAATTTTTATTTTTCTTTGTATGATGAAAATGGAAGACAAACACACGAATTAGAGCCTATAGTACTATGTTGATTTTTCTGACGTTTCATTAAGTCAGAATTTATATACTGTTTTAGCAAAAATTCAATAAGGATCTATTTTATATAGAAAATAGATAATATTTTGAAAGTTGGTTTTTATGCATAATAACTACAATAGTCGGAATCAACAAGAAAAAATATACCAGAAACTTTATTTTTTCATTGTAAGATATTTCTCATCAAAATTTTAGATCTGTTTCTTCAATTTTTTACTTCTTGAATTACTGATGAAGAGTTATGATTGTGTCCTGAGATAATCCTGGAAGCTTCAACGAAAATGAATATGTCTTGTTCGAGATTATTCAATTTCAATTATAAGACGAGAAAGACATTCTGCATTTTTGTTGAAACATTCAGAATTATCTAATGACTATTAAATCTATTTATAGGCCATGAATCCGAACTCTTTAAGCCTTTATTAGTATTTTCATATCGTCATCAAAGAAAAATCATCGGAGGGATAAGCCTATGGAAAAAGTGTCAACTCCTTTGAACATATGACATGGTTAAAACGCAATCTATATTTCATACCTAAGAATTTACATTTTATGGATATAACTTCCAATTGTTTACTGAAAATATCTTGTATTTTTCTTTCGATATCATAGATATGAGTGTATCTAAAGAAGAAGATAGTAAATAATCGATTCTCGCGGAAAGATTAAAATATTTAAAAGAAAACATGAATTAAAAACTTTCTTTTTTTTTTGGGATATATATATTTGATCTTATCCGAGATATTATTGTTTATTTCTAGTTTATCTCGATATAAACTTAAATTTTCTCCTGATAAAGTTGATACAATGATTGTTCAAGCTATTTGTATGTATTTTTTTTTTTATTGTTATATATAAATTTGATTAAATTTTATCTATAGCTTTATTGGATGATCTTGATAAAGAAACAAATAATTATATAATGCGTTGTAAAGAATGGTATGGTTGGCATTTTCCTGAATTAGCTAAAATTATACAAGATAATATTGCTTTTTGCAAGACAGTACAAAGAATTGGTTAATTAATATTATTTAAATAAATTTTTCATTATTATCTTTTTCGTTTTGTTTTTTGAATATTTATTATTCAATAGGTTATCGAACGACTGCAGTTGAACTTGATTTATCCGATATATTACCTTCTGATGTTGAAGCACAAGTAAAAGAAGCTGCAGAAATATCTATGGGTACTGAAATATCTGAAGAAGATATAACTAATATTCGTCATTTATGTGCTCAAGTATGTTTATAGTTAAATCTATTAATTAATATATATTTCATGTTCGATTCTAACTTCGAGAATTAATCATGGCTAAATAATCTATGATGATGTTAGTAACCGCCCCAGTCTAAATCTAATTTATGTTGACTGGTCCTATACTGAGATTATTAGCCTAATAATATCTTTGCTTAAAAATAAAAAATCTTCTGTACTTATATATATGTTTTAATAGGTTATTGAAATATCCGATTATCGAGCACAGTTATTTGAGTATTTGAAAAATCGAATGATGGCTGTTGCACCAAATTTAACAGTATTAGTCGGTGAACTGGTCGGTGCTCGACTTATTGCACACGCAGGTATGAATATATTTCCTTTTTTTTTTGTTGTTGTTTTATGACGAGTTTTTTTTTATCATACTAATTCTTCGATGAGAGTTGAGTAAGTGCAAATGGAGTAAGAAAGACAGAGTTGAAAGTTTCACTGACATTGCACAAAAGTCATGAATATGTTGACGACTTAATTGTCAATACAATATCAAGATTCCCTTAAAAAATTAATAGATTTTCTGATCGGAATCTGATATTTCTATATATAGCGCGAAAAAAAAGAGTAATTTATCCATCAACTAATTGCTCAACTATAAATCTGGAATTTTCTTACGTACGAGGGAAAGTCTACAAGTGTGATATGCCGATCAAGTCGATATTTTGTCTACAAGTAGATCTCAGTAAGACTAGAAGAAGTCTGAAAGGCTTCACTCCATATGTTTTCTTGCTTCAGGTAGAACATATATAAAAATATCTAGTTATGAAATTTTGTTTATAAATAGATCTTACGATCATTAGAATATTCTAAAAATTTCAATGTTTTATTTTTGAGATATTACATGTTAAAGACATTCGTTCTTTTGAACTTTCCTTGTAACATATATCGTTTTCTGGATATGTAGTATCTCAAGAAGAAAACATTGAAATTTTTAGGACATTGTAATGACCATGAGATCTATCTATGAGCAGAATTTCATAATTGGAACTTTTCATATATGCCTTGCTAGCGGCAGGAAAAATGACATATCTATAAAATATTGTCCGAACCAGTTATAACTTTGGCATATAGTCCTAATTCAAAATCAATAAATTATTTGAAGGAAGAACTTTCCTCTTATTAGTCAGATAATTTATAATTTTAATTAAATAATAAAACTAATTTTTAGGATCATTACTCAATCTTGCTAAACATCCATCATCAACCGTACAAATCTTAGGTGCCGAAAAAGCTTTATTTCGTGCAATGAAAACTAAACATGATACACCAAAATATGGTTTAATTTATCATGCATCATTAGTTGGTCAAACATCAGCAAAACTTAAAGGTAAAGTTAGCCGTATGTTAGCTGCTAAAGCTGCATTAGCCATACGAGTTGATGCACTTGGTGAAGATACACAAGCAACACTTGGTATAGAACAACGTGCTGATCTTGAACGAAAATTTGCTTTACTCGAACAAAATGCTGTAAGATTTTATAGATTAAAAATTTTTTTTTTTTGTTTTAATTTTATTCTTTTATATTAGTCAAAACGTATATCCGGTACGGGTAAAATGCAAGCAAAATTTGAAAAATATCAGAAAAATACGTATGTAATTTTGTTTTTTATTTTATTAATTGATATATTGAATTTTAAATAGTGAGAAGGGTCAATTTAATCAAGATCAAGCATCCACATTACCTCAAAAACGTCATTCTGATTTTGGTGGTCGAGGTGGTGCAAATAAACGATTTAAGAGTAGCAACATGAATAAATCATTTGTGGTTTAAAAATGACATAAAAAAAAGAACAAAGAAAAAACCAAAATTTAGCTGTCATTTACATATTCTTTGTTGTTATCTCTTTTTTTTTGGCTGTGAATGCCCGTAATTGTTATGTGTTTTTTTTTTTTGTAATGAAATAAAATGAAAAAAGAAAACCAAACGAAATAAATAATAAAATAAACATTTTTATTTTTTTTTTTTGAAGTCCTGACTTCTCACTTGAAATACTTTTTCAATAGAATTTCAAGTAGTAAACGTCAGGTAAATTATATTATCTCATATTTTTAATGGAATGGCCTTGTTTCGATTTCTTTATATCGATAAGGTTACAGACAGAGAAATGAGTACAAAATTTATCTTTTTTTTTTTTTTTTTTGTTCCTTGGCTTTCTTTTATATATGAAAAAACCAAATGACTATAATTTGCTTATAGTGCTCTGCATCAATGGACAAACTCATACATGACATCCGTTGTGCTCTCGACATAATTATAGTGTGCACATATATATAGGAAGATAAAACGGAAAAAAGCAAAAAAAAAAAGAATTTTTTCTTTTTGGCATAGAATAATGTGAACATGCCATAGTGATCGGGTATATTGCAAGTTTTTCAATGATGAAATAATAAAATATATATATATATATATGTATGAATAAGAATATACGAATGAGTCTAAAATATAAATCAAATAAAATGCTTGTTCTAGGTCATATCTATTCAAAATGAAATACATGTCAAAATAATTGGATACAAAAAATCCATTGAAATTTATATTATTCAAAACAATTTTATTTCAAAATAAAAATATTATATGTTTGATCATCTTGAAATCAATTAAATAAAATTGTATTTATTTAATCAACTTTTCAGACTACAACATAGATTTCATCCACTATGCTTAATATGTTGTATCTCTGTTAAAGAAAAAGTTAACTGTCTAATACAGTGATATTCTCAATTAAAATTTCATTGAAAAATAGTAAAGGGATGATGATCTATCAGACAGAATGATAGAAATATTCAAAAAATGGTTTTTCGAAATCCATTCGAGATAGTATAATCCATTTTTGTCTTTTCTACTGAAGGAAAATCAAAAAAAAAACTTCTCCAGGGATGTCGACCTCCGCTTTACCGCGTTCTTTTTCTCTCTAAAACCACTACTATTACAAACCTTTTTATTTCTAAATTATCTTCTGCAGAATGCAAATCTTATTTAAAAAACCGCTGCTTAGTATTACGTCTGCCTTTCTTCATGCTGAAGCTGATCTAATGTCCTTCGATAAAGTTTAAAAAAACAAAAAAAGGTCAAAATCACCTGTATGAACTATTCCAAATATAATTCTTTCTCAAGGCTAAAACTCTAACAGAGAAAGAAATCGTTTCGTTTTTTTTTTCTTTTCTAACCAATAAAAATTTTTTTTCCAAACACCAATAAAAAAACAAATTTCCTTTCTCTCATTCTTTCGTCTTCACCAATTGGATACCAATGTCACCGAGAAGAAAAATCTTTACTCTTTCTCTCTTCCTCTCTCTCTCTCTCTCTCTCTCTGTCTTATTCAAATTAACCTTATTCTTGCTAACTAATTATTGTCGTTGAAACCGGAGTACATATTGCTTTTCGTCAACTTGTCGTATAGAAAAAAAAAGAAAGCAGATCATTATCATCGGGTTTAATCTTAAAAACGAAGAAGAAGACGAAGAAGAAAAGGAGATAATTTACTCCCCGATTATTGATCGTTTTCTTTTATATTTTGTATTCATCAATGCATCGTCAACCGTAATTATTAAAGGGAAACTACGCTTACGCTCGTCTAACTTCATTAATTTCTTATTCATTGTCGCATATTATCTCATCTCATCTATATTATTATCAAGGGTGAAATTGTCTCAAAATTACTCAATAAACATATAGTCAATACAAAAGAAGAAATCAAATTAGTAAAACAAAAAAAAAAAACCCAACCGGAAGAAGAAAAGAAAAGAGAAGAAAAAAAAAAGAAAAACTATGATGCATAATGAACCATCAGCACAGACTCTTCCACCACCATTACCATTATCATATGAACAAGAAACAAAATCAAATGGTTTTCATGATTTTACAAATCATCATCATCATCCACATCAACATCAACATCAATCATTAGATCCAATTGATTCTCAACAACAATATTCAAATTTTATTCAACATAATACATATCATCATCCAACATCAGATGAACAATTTTATTCAACAACACGTAATTCATTTACATCATATCCATATCCATATTCATTACCTTATCCATCATTAACACTTGATGCAGGTAAACACGTAAAAATAAAATATTTTATTTATTTATTTATTTTTTTTTTTATTTTAATTTTAGATGAAAAATGTCATTATGATGAACGTGATATACAACCAAAATTAACAATTAAAGGTAAAAAAATTCGTAAACCAAGAACTATTTATTCAAGTATGCAATTACAAGTACTTAATAAACGTTTTCAACGTACACAATATCTTGCTTTACCTGAACGAGCTGAATTAGCTGCTTCACTTGGACTTACACAAACACAAGTAAAAAAGAAAAAAAAGAAAAAGACAATTTAGTTTAAAAAAGAAAAATATATATATATGTATATTTTCTTTTAAGGTGAAAATTTGGTTTCAAAATAAACGAAGTAAACAAAAAAAAATTGTCAAAAATGTTAGTCATCATTCATCATCATCTTCCCAATCCCCCAACCCGAACCCATCACACCATTGTACATCTCGAATAATGAACAATAAACATAATGATTCTATGTTTTTAGTAAAACAAGAACAACAGCAACCATCAACATCAACATCATCATCAACATCAACATCATCATCATCATCATCATCATCATCAACAATTTCAAATCCTATTGAATCAAACTCATTTAATATTGATGCAGTTTCATCATCATCTCCATTTGCACCAATTGAATATACAACTCATCCAAATCATTTTTGGTCTTTATCACCTTATGTAACTAGTTAAAATTATATTTGAACGTTAAAGTTGTGAAACGTTTTCGTTTTTCGATGTTTTCTGTCTGTGTGTATTTATATAAAAAAAAAACCCCAACAAAAAAAATACATATATACATATATATATATATATATATTACTTCAAACACAAATACTGTTCTCCCACTTCATGATGGATATGTATTGTTAAAAGCCTTGCGGTATGATTATTGTGAAATGAAGAGAGAGAGAGAAAGAAAGAAAGAACAATTATCTTCTTATTTCGATACTATTGTCACCTGATCGAAAGACATGGAGAGATGTTAATCTCTATACTTGAAAACATAAAGACATCTGCTCAATTGATAATAATGTTGTTTCTTATGCCAAACTTTCAACTACGATTTCCTGTTGTAATAGTTGATGTTGTTCTTTTTTTTTTCATGAATACTAATTATAACTCGACATATCTCCTCCTTCCATTAGTTGGCAGGCGATTCCACAATTAGCTAGGCCTTATAAAAAAAAAAAAAGAAGAAATAAACTAGAAAACCCAATTCTTTCTATTTTTTTTTGAAATGATCTTTTCTTTTTGCAGTTGAACGGAGATATAAGCTGATTATGATTGGATTTTTCTTACAATTGTTTGATCTTAATTTTAGTACATCTATCGACACGTGTACGATATCCGGAAACAAAAAAAAAGGATGATGTGTTAGTGCGTGAATAGCAATAATAACTTTGATCCATTTCTAAAGAAGATTTCAACTGTATTATCGGAACTTTTTTTCTCTCTCTCTCTCTGTCTCTATCGATCGATGACAGGTCAACATTGAAATTGTTTATGACAGCAAAGACAATATAAAGGCCAATTATGTTAGTCGTCATTCCCATTCATGCGAGTGTTCGTTTCGTTTTTTTTTTTTCGTGATAACATGCTGTGGTCGTTGATACCGTATGATGGTGACTGTTACTCTTGATCGATGATTATATCGGCTGAATGAATGTCTATATAAAAAAGGTTGGAATCGTGAGAAAAGAAAGAACGAATGTGTTCAAGTGTAATAAATGTTATTCTTTTTATATAAAGAATAGGTGTTATCGACAGATTTATATTTCATAGAAAAGAAAAATTTAGATTTCTCTATAAAAAAAAAAAAAAGAAAACACATTGCGTGTATGTGGTTAATCCACTATAGGTGGTCTTCGTTTTAACTTTTCGATGAATTTACAGATCACGCTTGTTATTATGTATCTCAATTTAGATTAGATTCATGTTTATAAGCAATTAGCTTTGGAAATCTAGTACTGTGATGCAATCAAGCGAGTATGTAGTTTGTTGTCATATTCTCGCGATCGATATTCAACGCACTATGAGTTCATTAAGGTGTGAAAAAAAATACGTTTGTTTTGATTGAAAGGCGGGATAATTACTGAATAGAAGAATACTAATTGATATTGCTTAAGGCATTTGAACTCATCTGATATTTACAAAATAAAAAGATAAGATTTTGAGCAATAAAGTGTGTTTTCTAATGAAAATTTGATCCATATTAAGTTTTTATTTTTATTTTTGTTGTTTTTAATTTTTTTATTGAAGTATGATGTACAAACAAATATTAACAATAAAAGATATTTATCATGTAATTATGGTTATGGTCATAGAGAGATCAAGATCTGCTACAATTAACTCTATTTTAAAAGGCAACAGCTATTAACAAATAGAAGTGATGACTCATTAAGTTGTTGTGATTTAAATCATCTGTTCGTAGATGATTTCTCAACAATACTTCGCTCGAATGATCAGATATCTGAATATGGAACTGAAATGTGATACGAAACAAAATTGAATGGACTGAAGAAATAAAGTACTTGGATTATTTATATACCTCAAAACTGTGATTTAGCTTAAGGATCCAGAAGATAATGGTTAGAATTCATTAAAGAGTTACAATGATCAACTTGTTTCGTTTGAAAGATTCTCTTCGGATCTTATATCCTTCCTGTTTTTTTTTCATGACTTTTCTCACTATTCACTTCGAAACAACAACAACAGTATCTGAACAAATTCAACACACGATGTTTGTGAAGAATTATGTTGTATACACATTGAAGTCCTAATTTCTTTATGTATACTACAAATGAATTATTACTTGAAGATCGATGCAAAAAATATCGGGAATGTTATCTGTTAGCCTTGTCATATACAACGGATGGTTCTTTAATTTTCCAACTGAATGGGAGTACACCATAAATAGTATCTATCATTCTAAGATGTTCATTGAGTACACATCCTTCCTCAAGAAATACACTTCCTGATGCGCAAGCCTATCTTCGAATGCCTTCAATCTTAATTATGAGTCTGAAGAAATCGTTACATTATATAAGTTCACAGAAACATTTTACTAATGTATCCTACTCTTTCTCATTGTAAATAAACAAAACTATTACGAAAATATAAATTATGGGAACTGTAATATTGTATCTCTCGTTCTTACTCTTGCTTAAATTGTATGCAATTTATTCTATCTTTCTTTTCTTTTTTGTAAAAGTTCTAGTTTTTTTCTCTCAACACATGTACTGTAGGGATCAACAAAATGATTGTCAGTTAATAGCAAAACAAAAAAAGGAGTGATGACTCATTTTATGCATACATGATACTTGTCGTATCTTGGTCTTTTTTTCGTATAACTGTTACGTATTTCTTAATTTTTTTTGATGTTTGAATATTTATATACAGTAGTTGTCTTTTACTAAGAGTAGAGGTGTAAGCTGAAGGATCGAACGGTGGCGGGCAAAATTTTTCTATTTCTGAGAATTTCTAGCGGCTACTGATTCGATTTTGCAGGCTCATCAGAGGTAGTGGCTATAATCATTTCAATTTTTTTTATAGCAGCAGCACTGACTGATGTTTATAAGTCCTTCTGCGGCAGCGGCGGTGGCTACTAAGCGTCAAATTGAAGTATTCTTTCGAGAATAAGAAGTTCCTGTTTCTTTCAATTCCTTTGGTTAAAAATTCAACTGATGAAAAATAACGGAAAAATGTTTGATCGCATATGTATGGATATCAGCAGCGACGGCTCAAACTATCATAAAATTCTCGCTCATGGCGGTGGAGAAGCCGCTAAACTTGCTTTTTTACAGCGGCGGCTGCTGAAAAATTCTAAAAATTATCTATGATATGGTGACTGTGGTGGCTTATTTTCTACAAAAATCGGCGGCTCAGTTGTATGGCTTATACTTCTAACTAAGAGTGATTTAATTAATTGTTCTCATTCGAATAGGGATTAGTTTACAAACTGTATGTTCACTAGCGATAATAGTGAGCATAATGACAATCAGTTGAGATGATCAGAAACAAACTGGTCTCACCAGTATGCCAACGCACCGGTGCGATCCGATCCTGTAGAAGCATTATAACGAGTCGGTATAGGCCACTATTTCACTAGTATAAGATTGGGGATAAAACACCACTGTCGACTGGTTTTCCATAAAACTGTTTTGTACTTACCTCTTTTTTCGTTTCGTTGAATGATTAATTGCACAAAAAGGAATTATTTTTGTCCGTTGGAAACATAATAGAATGTGAAATTATACTGCAATTCTACTCCAAACCGTAGCATATGTCATTATAAAATGTGGCTGATATCTCGTTAGTAACCACTGATATTTCACCGGTATAAAATATGTCGATATCAGTCGCGACTTTACCACTTTTTGCCGACATGTCGCCGATATACGATAGGCATTTTCTTTATTGGTTGGTTCGATACGGCTGTTCCTTAGCAACTTCAACTCTACTCTGAGTAGATCACCGATTGGAATATATACGACATACTATGCATAGGCAAAAATCGATCTAATCAACTCAACGTGGTTCAGCTTTTACAAAAATATCCACTCTCGTAGCGGAAAATGCAACAAGCAAAGGTATGAAAAATAGAATGTTTCATAACTGGTGTTCCTCTGTTTAAAATCCAATTAATCGTGTTCTCAAATGAGTTCAATGTGTAAGTTTCTCTGTTTGACCCTTTTCGAAATACAAACAACATCTTCTAGTGTTTCAGTTCCTGTCAATGATCATCATACGAAATTTTTCACTTGTTTTTGATATCTTTTTCGATAAAATGAGTATTTATAACTAGGAATTGAACTTGAAAAAATCGATACTGACATCCATTTTTCTTTGATCAATGACAATTAGTGTTGATTATCGATTCTCTAACGGATAGTTCGATTTGATAAGGAATATCACAGAGTAGATGTGGTTCTATGCAATTTGATTTCAGCTTTCTATGCTGATAAGAAATAGTAATCATCACGATTTCGATGATCGGATTTATGATTGGTCCATTTGAACTTTTAAAACCGGCTGGTTTCGACCAGCTTTTTGCCGGTATTTTTATCAATTTTCAGAGCACTGAAATTTGGCTATTTTACTTGTTTTTATCAATTTTCGGGTTTTTAACGGTCCATAAATATGAACATGGACGTTTTTAGCTAACAAATGCCTAACGGACATCAATATAACAACTCTAAAGTTTGAACTCATGCATTCTCATAGCACAATAAGGGTCTAAGATCATGCTGGATGCAGTGATGATGGTTGCAAAAAGTTAGTCAACCATGGGAAGTTAAATTCAATATAAACTAAAGATTTTCCACCTCGGAATTTTGAACTCACTTTGCTGGACTATTTTTAACTGACTGTCAGAAACTCTCAATAGTTAGCATTTGTCAGTTCATGCTTTCGTTACATAAATCTCACAAAAGTATCCATTTTGTTATGGAAGTTTTGCAAACTACTATCTCATGCAATTGTGTGAATATCTAGGCATTAGGAAACGTTAATATATTAAGCCTAGTATAGAAATCGAACTCCGTAGCTCATTTTGTCTTCCTATTGGCAGTAGTAGCCTTATACAAATTGAGAAATCTTTTAGCTGTGTTAAATAATGATTTCAACTAAGAAAACATCAAACTTATCAATTTATGTAAAGAAATTATATTCTTATTGAAGAAAATCAGGCG